TGTGAATAATTAACATGGCTCAAGGGCTGGTGGCTGCATGCCTGTCATGCTCCACATTTGTGGGTGGAGTGACGGGCAGCCCGGAGCGTCCTCGGAGCGGGCAGGAGCCAGTTCCTTGTGGGTGCAGAGGGGCCAGAGAGCTGCTGCAAGTGCTCACCTGCCTCTCCCTGGCTCTGTTGCAGAAGGACAAGAGGACACTATCCTGTCATACGAGCCAGTGACACGGCAAGAAAGTAAGTTCTGATGCTGAGCTGCCCCGTGCCCACTCCAGCATGGCCACCTGTGTCCCCAGCACAGCCAGGGTGACCAGTGTGCCCTCCTCCCCTCCTGCCATACCAGCATGGCACCAGGCGAACGCGAGTGGAGTGTGTGGTGTGTTGTGTGCAGCAGGGGAGACTGGTGTGCCTGCTGTCTCACTGGGCCTGGCCTCGGCTGCCCCTTTCTAATCAACAGAACACACTTGTGACCTGGTCTGCAAGACCAGGGGAGAGATCCAGAGCTAAAACTGAGCTGGACTTTAGTCCCAGCTGAAGACAGGATGATCTCTTCTTGCCTCAGACCAGGTCCCTGCTGCAGAGCAACCCTCCCCAAGCCCTCAGCCTGTAACCCTGCTTGATGCTCAATCCTTGCAGACCCTTTTGCAGGCTGAATAGTTCCAGCCTCGGTGGTCTCTCCTTGCCAGAAGCTGGATCTGACTTTTAGGCTCCCGTCACTCCCCCAGCTCCGTGGCATCCTCGCCCAGCTGTCCTGGTTGCCTGGCTCCTGCCCCAAGCAAGGGAGCAGCTTTGCTGATCCGCGACCCTGGAGACCTGCAGCACCTTCCCCGGGGCCACGCAGATGGTTTGGGTCAGATGGGAAGGACATGTTGACCGTGACCAGGAGGAGATAAACTCGCACGGAGGAGGCACCTTTGGGTGCCCATGTGAGCAAGAGCACCCACTGCCAGCAGGGAGAGAGCAGGTTGATGCCAAAAGTGGCAGTAGGGTCAGCTGCCTGCAGCACAGATGTGGCCTCAGGTTGTGGCTCTTGTTCGCAGTTCACTATGCGAGGCCGGTGATCATCCTGGGGCCGACGAAGGACCGAATTAATGATGACCTCATCTCTGAATTCCCACACAAGTTTGGTTCCTGCGTGCCCCGTAAGTCACAGTGGGCACTCAGTGCCTTTGCTGGAGGGAGGGGAGAGTGGTGGCCCTGCTGTTTGCAGGGTCTAGCCCACAGCGTGGGGAGGGGACTGGGAGGCCGGGTGGGTTCTCTGGGTTTGGCGTGGGTCACTTGGGTTCACTCTTGATGCACACTCTCCTCCAGACACCACAAGGCCTCGGCGTGAGAATGAGGTGGATGGACAAGACTACCACTTTGTCGTATCCCGCGAACAGATGGAGAAAGACATCCAGGACAACAAGTTCATAGAGGCTGGGCAGTTCAATGACAACCTCTATGGGACCAGCATTCAGTCGGTGCGGGCAGTGGCGGAGAGAGTGAGTGTCAGGGAGCATCTGGGACCAGCACCCATCCAGCCCAAACCCATACACATTCAGCAGTTCCCCTCCTTTCCCTGTGTTAATGAAGGGCTGTAACCACATTAAGCAAACCTGGCACAAGCCTCTCGTTCCTCCAGTCTTGTCAAGCCATGTGGCTGCTTTACTCAGCTGTGTTACTGTACCTCAGTGTCATACCTCTGTGTTCCACACTCCTTCTTAAAACCCGGCACTGGTGGCACCTTGTGCTTAGGAGCTCACAGGGCCAAGGTACCTAGCTGCCCTCAGAGCAGCAGCATTCCTCTGTAGGAGCACTGTAGTTACTAAGGGCAATCTAAACTACTTCACATGTCCAGACAAAGATTGAGTCCCTTTGCATTGCTGCTGTCCTGCCCTGAGCAGGCAGGAACGTGAGGCCACTGGGAACTGGCTTGTGTCTCAGGGCTGGGGTTTCATTTCTGTGGTGCTTCCCTTTTGTAAGCACATCTGTATGAGCAACAGTTTTCTGCACAGAGTAGTCTGTGTGGGTAGGTCTGATCCCGACTGTCTCCTTTCCAGGGAAAACACTGCATCCTGGACGTGTCTGGCAATGCTATCAAGAGGTTGCGACAAGCACAACTTTATCCCATTGCCATTTTCATCAAACCAAAATCCATTGAAGCTCTCATGTAAGTGCAGCACTGTGTTCTGTGCCTCTCCAGGGTGAGCCACTCTGGCACGTTGGGGGTCTGTGTCTTCTGCCTCTGCCAGAGGCAGCACCAGAGAAAGCACCAGAGGCTGCTGCTGGTGCTGAACTTGTCCCTTGTTCATAGGAGCTGGGCCCATTGTGTGGTATCCCTTCACATCTATTGCCATGGTGCATCTAGGCTGCATGGATTGCTCTGGCTTAAAGCCCTTCATGTGTCCCAACAAGGACTGTCCATGGGAAATCTAAAAATGCTCCCAAATGTGCCTGGTGTAACCTGCTTACCTGGGCCCCATGCCCAGCCAGAAGACCTGCTGAGATCCCTTAGTGGTGGATCACAGTGGGATGGTGGCAGAGCCAGGACAGCCCTGACAAGCAGAGGTTTCTTCTGTGCCTAGGGGGAACCTTGTGCTTGTCCTGCTGCTCCTGGCTCTGGGTAGTGCTGGCTGGAAAGGGTGTAAGAGCTGAGCTTGCAACTACTCCAAGCAGCAGCAGCAGCAGAGAATATTATCTGTGGGGAAATTTGACACCTAGAGATTGATTCTGAGGTCAGAAGAGACTCTGCTGGCACCAAGGAGACTGAGAAAACTCCTTCTCAAGCCAGAAGGGGTCGAATTGTTTATTGGGGTGTTTTATGAAGATGAGGAAATCTAGGCATGGAGACAGGCTCTGGCAAAAGCAGAGAGACTGCTGCAATGGTCTTGCAAATTCAGGGAATTGTCTGGATTTGACTCTGCTTCTGTGCTATGGTGAAGGGGGACAGGGTGGTGGCAATGGAAAGAACCATTGGAAGTTGAGATGAAGTGCCAAGGCGGCCTAGAGCATGTGGGGAAGGGCCCTGTCTTGGAGAGCTGGGTCCTGCTCCTCATTCCTGGGAGCAGAGGCTTCCCAGGCCCCCTGGCTCCATGGGCTATTTTTGCTTCTGTTGATTGCTAAGAAAAAGAGCTAAAAGTTCCAATTTTTTTGTGCATGGCAGGGAGATGAACCGGAGACAGACATATGAACAGGCCAACAAGGTCTTTGACAAAGCCATGAAACTTGAGCAAGAGTTTGGAGAGTATTTTACAGGTGAGTGTCCTGAGCAGGCTTGTGTCTGATTGGGGTTTTTTTCCATCTGGCAGCTGTGACCTCTCTACCAGAACTGTCTTACTGCAGGGTCATGGGAAAACATCCAGCTTCATCAAAGCAAAAAAGAAATGGCACTTTGCCAGGAGGGCTCTGCAAGGGGACTGCTCTGAGATCAGTGGATAAGAGTAAACCAGCTGTAGAGAAGGAGACAAGTTGTCAGGCAGGATTTTCTGAGTTTGTGAAAGCTTATTGCCAACTTTAATAATAATAAAAAAATTAAAAGTCCCCAGGCAGGGGAAGCACAGCATAGATTCAGGGTGCTGCACATCTGCAGGAAATCAGTTCCCTGCACAGGGAAGAGGGGAGTATTTTCAAAAAGAGAAATGATTTTTTTTTAAAGAGGAAAGATAAAACATTAGTGACCTAAATGGTGGAAACTGTCCTGATTTATTTCAAAACATCTCCCAAAAAAGACTGGAAGTTTGGCTGCCTTCCTAAGTAGTCTTTGCTGAAAAGCCAGTCATGGGCTGCTGGCACTTGGTGCCTGCAGAGATGAGCTGCTCATGACACAAACATCTTTGTGCATTAAGGAACTAATGTTTTTAACATGATTAATTCTGGAAAATCATGGGCAAACATAAAGGGACAGAAGCTGGTCTTCCATCTTTCCTCCAGTGCAGTAACTGTTTCTTCTGAAGCTGAGAAGTGATAATCCTGCCAAACCCTATATTACCCACCTAACAGCTACGGGGGAGAACCCCAGGCAGAACCTTTTCCAAAAATTGATCTCAGCTGAGCAAATGTCTGGGTACAAACAGGGTAAGAGCTTTCCCCAGACCTCCTGTCCTGGGCAGCAGCTCCACAGCTGTTGGCTGTTCTACCAGCAAGACGTGCTGTGGTTTTGCAGGCCCTCAGCATGCCACAGGGCACTTGGAGGGTGAGTTTGATGTTGACCTGGGGAAGGAATGCTGTTGGCTGAAATGTGTTGTTGAAAGAAGTGAGTAATGGGTGGAGAGATGGCCACTGTAGTGAGTTCTGTGCCAGGAACTTAGAATGAGGGCACAGAGATGATGGAGGATGCCACTGGCTGGGCTACAGAGGCAGGCTGGATTACCAGAAAGCTTTGGCCCTCCATGTGCCTCTTCCTCTGAAGTGAGAAGCACAGTGAAGTGCTTTGTGCTGTATGTGCCAAGCATGAGGCTATGGCTGGTCTTTGGGCAAGAGTTGCTGGGAGCATTGGCCTTTCCCAGCCTGACAGCACTGCAACTCTCACCCTGCAGCAGAGGAAGCAGCAAACACAAGGAGTCCTCAGCAGCCAACCAGAGGGCACAGACAAACCCAGCACCTCAGGTCAGGCACTTGGTGCACACTGGCTGACCTGCCCTAGGCCCTCCGTGCCTCGCTCCGGTTCACCACGGCACAGCGGTGCCGGTGCCAGGCCTGCTACAGCCTCAGCTCAGGGCCTGACACAGATTGCAAAGCTGATTAGCAGCTGGTGTGGAGAACCCAAGAGGGCCCTGCACACACCCAGGAGCTCTGCCAGCCGGATCAGAGCTGGCTAATCCCCGAGGAGGTGATGGGTTAACCCTCTGTGTCACAGTGGGACTGTTACAGCTGCTCTGACACAGACTGTCTCGTCAGGACCTGCTGGCTATACCCTCCAGCTCAGCTGGGGCAGAGGGAAGGCCTTCCCATAGGTCCTGGCAGGGAAAGCTCAATGCTGCCTGGTGCTCACGGTCTTGCTTGTTCTCTCCTCTTGCAGCCATCGTACAAGGAGACTCTCTCGAAGAGATTTACAGCAAAATCAAACAGATCATTGAGGACCAGTCTGGGCACTACATCTGGGTCCCGTCCCCAGAGAAGCTCTGAAGATGTTCCCCCACCTGCTTCGCTGTGAGCAGAAGATCTCTGAAGTCCTACCCATCCAAGCCCTCTGCCCCGAGTGGGAGGGATATGAAAACTATTCCTGCCCCCTTTTTTAGATCGTCGCAAAATTGAGTTTTCTAGTCCTGTTTCTTTTGTTGGGATGAACTCATATCATTCATCATGTGACTGTTCCCACCATTCCTGCATGGACCTTCCCACTGCTCCATTAGAGACAGATGAGAACCCATTCAAGGTCGTTTTTTTATTATTATTA